TGGTCTAGAGACTCCCGCGCTGTCAAGAAACATATTTTTTTGTTAATTTCTTAAAAACGTGTAGGTTTGCTGCCCGTTTACGTTATTTTGAATTTTGAATGTATAGGTACGAATTTGTTAAATATAATAGAATAGAATAATACAAAGTATTAATAATTATGAATTACAACATCTTCTCATCGTGTTAAATTTTGATTTCTAAAGCAAACCAATTGTTGTCTTGATTTTATTTTAGTCAAATGGAATGGGCTTCTACTCTACCAAAAACGTTACATCTCAGCCAATCCAAAACAATAACCAATAAAGTTAAAAGTTACCATTCGTTTCGAACGAAATATCCCTGCGTCGATTCCAGAATGAGTTCGAAATTAACAGGCTTCTTGCGCGAACAAAGAGTGATGCTTACGGAATTGTAATGGTTATATTGGTGACAAACAATGATGGTGATACAAGAATTTTTGAAAATGAAAAAAATATTGAAATCTCGTTTTCAACCAATAAAACTTAACTACCGGTGTTCAACACCTAAGTGGCCGTTGACAATTCATCAATTCGAAAGGTTTCAGTTTAGGTGTAGCATTTTTACGCCAGTATTTTCTCGAAATATGTCCAGATCTCGTTAAATATTCGGGAAACATGAGTTAATTGTCTGTAGTTTGTTGTTTAGAAAGAAAATGGGGCAAAGTGGGTGAAATCTAAAGGCATGCAATCCATCAATGTTTACCCTACTAGGACCACATTATCTAATAGCCATATTTTTAACTTTTAACTGTATCCTCTATGAATTATAGCAATTTAAGGTAGTGTATGTATTTCTACAAAATATTTTACCATATTTCCTCGTACATTTTCCTTAATATTGTCCTTATATTTTTCGGTAATTCCTCGCAGTGGGGCAAATATTTGCTTAGTGGATTCTGCCTTGAATATGATTACTTACAGGATGGGGGGCCACCCAAAATGTAAAAAAAAAACACCATAATGTTACTTTGTTCTTTTATATCCGATAAGATATCTTTGTAATTAATTAAGGACATTCATGTGATGACCCAGACGAAATCATATTAAAAAGTTATCGCGTGAAGCTGAACTCTTAATAAATATCATTCACGGCAAAAAAATTGAGTTCTAAGCATAATGTTTGCCTTCCTTTTTCGTTTTATTGTTTTTCCGGATAATAGATATCTAACTTCTACAGCAACGCATCTTATATTAATGAAATAAATATTCGGGTTGTCCTAATTATTGTCACACAGTTGAGTTGAGTTCCCTATTAAAATTCTGATCATTTTTACGAAAAAAAAGGTATATTTATTTGCTTCTGTTGTTTTGTTCTCTTCTTTCTAATATTATTTCGACTATTCTCCACTTTTTTGGTATTTACAAATCTTCCTTAGAAGAATTGATTACATTCAAGAATTTTAGTTTAGCTGGAAATCTATAAGCAACTAAACAACCTTAACCGCGACTCATATCTTTACCTTTCACTAATATGGGAATCAATCATACGAGACAATGTTCATACACTTCCTTTAGCTCCCCCCCTCCCCCCCCCCTTTCTACAGAACAGTATGCGGGCCAGTTTTAGTTAAGCTCTGAGGAAGCCAACAGGATGATTGGCGAAACGTCAGCAAGTTCGATTAATTAACAACAGCCGACAGGAGAAATCCAAACGATTTGTAAATAGTGTTACAGTAGCCTGTGGAAAACTGCCTGTGAAAAACTCCTGTTTTTAATTTCTCTTTTCGGCTAATAACTTTTTTTCTTCTTAAGTCTTTCAAAGTTTTGTTATTCTATCTCTGTCTTGACCTACCGTTTCGTTTTTTCCCTGTCCGATTTTAGTATAGTACCAGTTTCGGCATTATTTCCTTCTCCAATCGCTTCAAGCAACCGATCTTAGCATTTGCGCTCTCACAGAACATGTCATATCCGGTCCAGTTCCTTATTAGTTCTCCTACTCCACCCTGCTTGTGTACCGACTTCACCATATGTTCTCAAACCGTTTCTGTCTCAGCGTTCCATCTGTTGTTTCTACATACTTCACAAGCGTAGGTCTGATTACTATGGAGTAATAATCTTACTTAAGTCTTTCCTCAGACTCTAGCTCGGTTTTCATTCTTTTGGTAGGTTTTTTTTATCTATTATTACCCTTTCTCTCTAATTTCCTCTTTGTTCGTGATATTACAGTTAAGTCGTCTACGAATGTCAACGTCAACGATATGATAATTTTTATTTCTGCCTTTGTGGGGATTTCTATTACTTTATTTTCCTTGGCGTAGTTTGTTCATTCAATAATCTCTCCACCCCTCTTCGACTGTTAATAATGCTTACTCGCTTTTGATATAACTATTTCCACCCTATCAACTATTTCTCTTGTTTTCTTTTCTTCTTGATAGAGTAATCTGATTTCTTTGCTTTGAAATGCGTCTTCCATTTCTCTAATCTTATGTTCATTGTTTTTTTTTTGCTCTACAAATTCTTTAAAATGTTTTTGTTTTATTTCTAAATTTTGTTTTATTGTCCTCTCTTTAATTAGCTAGTAAGAGGTGTCTTAACATTTTCTTTTCTTCAGCTACTTTTCCATACTCATTATCACAGCAGCCTTTATTTCCTCTTTGCTTTGTTTCCCAAAAGATACCCAGTAAATGTGGTTCGCTGAGATTTTCACTTGGACCGCAACCGCAACCAACGTTCAGACTAATTTTTTATAGTTCTATCCAGCAAATCTACACCATTAATTATGCGACACCCTCTATGAATATATAGGGAGCAGATACCGGCAAAGTTTTAAAGCTCTTTTTATATTAAAATGTTTGAACATTTTCTCTTCAAAAACTAGAACATGTTTAAATACGCGTTGACCTACAATATACGTATGCGTTTGGTTTTTTATATTGTTGTTTTATTTTGCTCATTTGAAGTATGGAAGTACAGTTTCAACCCTTTTAAAAATCGGTGTTGGTAAAGATTTATTCAAACAATGAAGTAGGACTATCTTAGGTTGATTATTTTTGAGGAGTCATCTGTTAAAAACTGTTATCTTTCTTTATTTACATCAGACATTACAGTGTTTGAAAAAGGTCAAACGTGGCAAACTGAATAACAACAACGATACTTTATAATATAAAGTTCATAAGGTATAAGGTAAGGTATATTTCATTTACACAAACAGTACTTTAAAGAGATTAAAAAATCAGTAAGATTATAAAAAGTCATTTTTCAAAGAAACTTCCACAGGCTACTGTAATACTCTTTACAAAACTTCTTGATTCCTCCTGCGTCGGTTTTTGCCGAGTCGAACTTGCTGACGTTTCGCCAATAATCCTGTTGGCTTCTTCAGAGGAATCCAGAAGTTTTGTAAAAAGTATTATAAAAAGCCATTTTCAGAAATTGATTTAGTTTGATTTTAAAATTATTGGTTTCTTAATTTCAGTAGACTAAATATTTATTGGTAAAATTTAATAATTAAAGTGAGATCTATATGATTCATTCTGTCTCAGGTCGAACGAATATGCTCAAAAGGGTCCTCTTCTATCTTTTGCTGTTTTGCTATTTTAGCATGGTCCATGTTAATAAGTTGCCTTCTTAATATTTGTCTTAATATTAGTAAAAGAAAACATGATGAGTTTATTTCGGACGATAAATTCTCACGGTGGTTTTTTTCCAATCTAGATTTTGACCTTCCGTGATTCAGCAACTTTTATATTGAGAGTTAGCTGTGTTTAAGTTTGGAAAATTTTGGCATAACTACGTGAATCAATATTTGCAATTAGCATTAGAATTGTTTTGGGGCTCTTTCAAGTATGTAATCAATGCTTTTAAGACCCAGAATAGTATTATTAGGTGTATTCTCAAGCCGCCCCCCGGACTTTCTTTTTTTTTTTAGTGTGTAACTTTATTCTAAAAGGTTATTTCTTTTAAATGTTTGTAATCTTGTAAATGCTTAATTTTATTAGGGCAAGTTTGATTGTCATTTAATATGATTTTGTCGGAAATAATAGATATTATTATCATTATTAAAGCCTCTTAAACTTTCCGCTAGAGGCGCCGCGTTCCAGCTGAGATTTAAAATATAAGCTTTATTTTGAGAATAAATCTAAATAATTTACCAATTAATTGTTTCTATCGATCACACACCACTCCTGCAATAATTTATATAAAATGGCATATAATTTCAACATTTGTATTAATTTTTTATCTACTTTTGACTTTCTAAAGAGCATGATTTTACTTATCAATTTCTCCTTTTTGTAGCAAAATCAGTTCTATTCATTCATTCACTCATTTTTAAATATTGCTGACGAGTAACACTGAATGTATTGATTATCTATAAGTAGTGTGCGTTATTATGGACGAAAAATCGCGGCTTTTTAAGACATTATAAAAAAGGTTGCGATTTATCAGCATTACGATATACAGTTCGGTAGATGCATGAGGCTCTATCTGCTACGAATAAGTGAACTGTAACTGTACAAAAAGGTTTCGGTGAATTCGCAACAAAAATAATGACTAATAATGGGACTACACAGATTCAGACCCAAAATAGTAATAATAATATAAATTATATTTATAACAATTTTAGTAAAGAAAAATGGAGGTCACACATAATCTTTAACTCTTTGTGAGTGAGAATAACCGAGATTAATTTAATTCCGGTTAAAAACTATGACGTCATCGATGTACAATCGATAGTAACACCCACTGCGATAACGCTTTTGTTTTTTAGAAATTTGAAACGTCAATTAACTCAATTAAACTTACTTATCCTTGACTTAACCATATATTAACATTTTCCGCCTATATTTCTTGAAATCCTTTTTAAATGTAAAAAATTTAAAAGTAAAATTACCTAGTAGGAACGTACATTACTTAAATTGCAAGTCGCAAAATTAAAAGACAAAAAACAATATCTAAGTAAACTAATCAAAACCCATTAAGGGAGTAATTTCATTACGAAGCTTAGTTCCATGTCAATCCGCTAGACCACATAAATGTTGCAGGGTCGTAACGTGGACGAAGCTTCCCCTGTGACCAGAGGGTGTTTTCTTCCATACAACTACAAGATCTTCTTGAACGGCGAACCGCCTTGGGCAGGCTGCTAGCACCCCAACTCTAACTTGTAAACCACAACCCCTTTTTCCAAGCCCGTCACGCGCAAATTGGAGCACGGGCTGCCTCGTGAGTATAGACACATCCAGAAACATCCGCGGGCTGTGGAACTTGTAGGTACACTTCTTTTGGATTTCTCCTGCGTCGGATATTGATTCTGTCTTGCTGACGTTTCCTAAATATGCTAGGGCCTGTTCGCCGAAGATTCTTGACCACAACTGGACGGCACATTGTCTGGAGATAATTTTCAACTTTAACCTATCGCAGATGTTGAGAGTTTTTTGGAAAAAATAGAGAATTTACTTTTGATGTTACGTTTTATCAGAATTTATGATATTTGATCATTATGTGTTCTGGTGAAGTGTATTATTTCATCGAATGTGAAGCGAGATGTGTTAACTTATGTGATATTCGGTTATAGACAGTGATTGCTCTGAAAACTAAGGAATTAATCACAGAAGAGTTTAGGATTGGATGGTGATGTGATATTGAATGACCAAAGGTTAAGTCAAGATAAACAAAGTGTTATCTTGTAAATCGATAGTGAAGTTGATATTTGACTGTGTGGAGTTCAGATTCCTGTTCATGTTGCCAAATAATAAAGTTTCCACTTTAATTGGAACTTATCCATGGCTAGTTTATCTAAACGTTTCATAAGTATATTCGCGATGACAGAGAAAAGTGGGGAACCGAAAGCTGTTCCTCAAATTTGTCCATTTACATGTGAAGTATTCAGTCATCTCCGCAGAAATTAAACCCCAGTCCTTTGACGCCGTTAGTTATTTAAAGTGCATGAGAGAGCAATCGACCCTTAGTTTCACAAAGTGAGACAGCGAGACAGTCAATACTCGACTCAGCAAAAATCCAGAAGAAGTATACCCCAGCCTGCGGAAGTTTCTTTGAAAAATTGTAGCCACACCCATCGATTTTGGCGCGCCTGTACCCATAACGCATTGCTTTTTGGTTCCAGCTTGCTTATTAAACCAAACGTTTATAATTATATTTAACATTTCCATCCCTATTCCATCGAAATGAAAATCGCAAACGTCGAAGATCGCATCCACATCCTCGAACCGACCACCGATACGTGGTCGGTTATCAGGGATATCGCCAGTGACCACAACCAGGAAGAGGCGTTTTATGTGTGCGATATCGTAGATGTGGTCAAAAAATATGGGATATGGCGATCCAAATTACCCAGAGTCCAACCCTATTATGGTAAGGACAACACAAGAGAAAGGGAATTCGTTTTGTTAAGCCTGGTCTCAGAGCTTCCGAACAATATTTTTTATTTTGTAATGGTAACGGTTGAGTTTCGATTATCTATTTTATAAAACCCGAAAAGCCATCAATTATTTGCAAAATGTTGGCCTTACTCTTATAAAACTTCTGTAGAACTTAAATGCGGAATCTCGTAAATGTGACGGTAACTAAATTTTAGTTTCATACAAAACTTTTACACACCTCCATTTATTTGTAACTAACCGTTATAATCCATAAATAAGTTTTACAACGGCAAGGAATACCATTTTCGTTATCGCTATAAAGGTAGGTTTTATAATAGGTGTATATAAGCACCAAACAAAAAACGCTCCATTTTCGCATCGCCTTTTTCTATATCGTTTGTTTACAATATGGTTTTTCTACTCACTTCTGTAAAATACTTAATTACTCACGAATCTAGCGTGCGGAAAGCGCCACTTTATCACATGAATTTTGTTTCCCACCGATCAGAGCCACGTCGGATATTTTTGTGATGTTACCGCACGCGTTTGGGAGCAATCTGATGTTTTCGGAGATTTTACCGCACGGTTTGAATTTTGACGTTTGTCAATTCTGACGGTCATGTTAGAGAATGTATTCGTGTTGTTTTTGCAAAAATGTACTCAAAAACTAACGGTCGTAGAAAAAGTATAGTACGCAATACGTTTGATAAACTTTTCCGTTTCCACACTTATTGCATAAAATACTATTATAATACGACCAAAAATATAGTGCATTTATTGTTTTGAAGTTTTAAGTAGTTTACAGTACCGTAATCGCAGACCTGCGCAAGACCGTGGTAAACTTCATCCCAACAGATGTTTATTCTGCATTAAGTGGGTCTTGCCTGAGATGGACCGTAACGAATATTTGTAGAAACTTGAAATTTTTATTTGAAACGTAAATGGACCGTTTTAAATTTGATTAAGTTAAGTATGTTCGTATATATTGTGGATATATTTGACTGTGATCCTTGCAGTAAGTACGTATTTATGTACCTGATACAATATTTTAATAAAGACTACAACTCGATTCGATAGCACAACATAACGGACAGGAAATCTTGAGATTACACCCGTATTATTGTATATTTAACCCGATTGATATGATTTAGTCTGAGTTGAAACTGCATATAAGAAGAAATAACACTGCACCAAAATTTCGTGATAGTACCATAAACGTAATTCGGCAAGAGGTAGCTAAAATATCAGTACAAAGCTGGTCTAACTGTGAAAAATTAGTGGCCGAGTTGATTGTTGAACTAGGTGACGGCAGTAGCCATAGTGACGATTTATTTAATATTTTGTATATTATGAAATATAATGAAATAGAACGTAGTAAATTGTTACTTTGTACTAATTTTTGGATACTTTTAAGAATTGCTCGGCGCAAATGATTGGAAACATACTTATATCCCGCTTGTTAGTGTAGGTATATAAATTCCTAGAACGGTCCTGGAATTGTTACGGGTAAGGGTTTGCTCTACAGGGTGTTCTATAAGGAGCTACGGTTTTGGAGTAATAAACAGTAGGCAAAGTTAATCATGGGGTCGGTTGTAAAAACACTATATTTCAGGTCGAAGTATACAAAACCGCTGTAAAACTAAAAGTAGCTGGCAAATCTATTGAAAATCATTAGTGCGCAAATGTCAAAAATCAAATATGCATTCGTAACCTCACTCTTCAGTTGTTTATTTCGTGTTGAAAGAAGTTTGTTTAGTTTTCTATAAATATTTAAAGTTGACAATGAAAGTAAACTTGCCTTTTAAAATTGTGCGAAAGAAGTTGGGAAAACAGTCTTTGTCAGTCGTTCCAAGCATTTCGTAGACCAGGTTTCCTAGTATCTGTACAATATTTAATAGATGCTTTAAGATTTGTAAGAGTTTTACAAACTAGGTTATAAAAGCCTAAGAGTAAAAGTGTTATAATAAGATCCCTATAAAACTTTTTTATAATTATTAGACATCTTACAAAACTTGTAACGGTTTTCTTATAAAACTATAAAAACTGTTATAAAATGTTTCTTATAAATTCCTTATGTATCTTTACTTTATAATGAAATCTTAAGTTGTGAAAAATGTTAGTTGAGTTTGTTTGTAGTGACCACAATATTTGAACAACAAAATGTACTTCTTTCTGAATTCTTTTTGGTCGAAAAATTAACGTTGTTTTAGAAATACACGTTTATACGGGATAAGTCATTGCTAAATTGATACTACGGTTTACCCACGCGCGGGATGTTTTGTTAGTGTACAAGAAAAACCTAAAAATATGCACTAAACAGAACAATGTTAGAAATAGTATTAAACGAAAGCTAAAGCTTTATTATAAGATAAGGAGGTTTATAAGAAGCCTTAACTTTTATAATAGTTTTTATAGTTTTGTAAGAAAATGTAATTTGCCTTACATTTTTTGTAAGACTTCCAAGTTTTATAAAATGGCATTCAAAACGTTGCTGCCGTTACTTTATTTATAAAACCTTTGGAGTGGGTTACTTCAGTTGTTTTAAAAAGGTTTTATAGCGTTTGTGCTTATGCTTATTGTTATAACACCACCGCCAAAGGGCTGTTTTTCCAACTTTTTTTGTTTGTACATTTTTAAAAGGCATATTTAATTGTAAATTTTAAATAAATATAACTGAAAACTGAGGGTATAATTGCATAATTGAGATTTAACATTTGCGCACTAATAGTTTTCAATTCGTTTTCCTATTACTTTTAGTTTTATAGCGGTTACGGTTAATACATTTTTAGTAACTTATTTTTATTATATAGACTAAGACAAGTTTTCTAAAAGTTATCAATGTGTTTAATATCACTTGAAAGCCCGTATAAAACTATCAGTTTTTAAAAAGCGAACCTGAGGTACATGGCACCCTTTTATGTGGCTGCCATTATTAGGTTGTTTCGAATTGACATAACATATTTCCTTAAAAAAGAAATATCGCATTTTAAGCAATATTCCTGAAACTTCAAAACAAATTTCTTCAAAAATATAAAAAATATTCTCCATTTTAATTGGAAAAAAAATCATGAGACGACATAATTTTAACACTCTCAGGTTTTTACCAAAATTACGATTTAGCAATGGTAAAATATAAAATTGTCCGGTATTTTTTTTTGGGCCAAATTTTCAGTTTTTAGGTTATAATATTCATCAAGACATTGTCATATCAAAGTAAAAATTCATTGCTGTAGTAGTATATTATGCAACAATTGCGGTAAACGGCATTTGACTCATGAGTTTATTTGACCGAGCGGAGCGAGTGTTTAATAAACGAGTGACTTAAAAAGTTTACCGAACGTGTTACATACTATACCTTTTCTACGACCGTTAGATTTTGGGTACATTTTCGCAAAACAACACGAATACATTCCCTGACATGACCGTCAGAATTGACAGACGTCAAAATTCAAAGCGTGGGAAATATCTCCGAAAACATCCGATTGCTCCCAACCAAACCCGTACTGTAAAATCCCGGGAATGTCCGAAGTGGTTCCCATTCGTGGGAAACGAAACTGACGTGGTAAAGTGACGCTTCGCGCAGGCTAGGTCGGTGTGTGATTAGGTATTTTACAGAGGGGGGTAGAAAAAATACAATACAAGGACACGAATGATATAGAAAACAGGTGAAGCCAAAATGGAGCGTTTTAAGTTTGGTGTTCATAAACCTTTTATAAAACCTACCTTTATAGCCATAACGAAAATGGTATTCCTTGCCATTGTAATAGTATATTATGCAACAAGTGTGGTAAAGGGCATTTGAGTTAAAAAGTTTACCGAACGTGTTGCATATTATACTTTTTCTACGACCGTTAGTTTTTGAGTACATTTTCGCAAAACAACACAATACACTCACTGACATAACTGTCAGAATTGACAAACGTCAAAATTCAAAGCGTGGGAAATTTCTGATTGCTCCCAAATCCGTGCGGTAAAGTCCCGGAAATGTCCGCATGCTCGCATTCATGGGAAACGAAACTGACGTGGTAAAGTGACGCTTCCCGCACGTTAGATCGGTGGGTAATTAGGTATTTTACAGACGGGAGTAGAAAAATAGTATATTATGGAACAAGTGCGGTAAACGGCATTTGACTCAAGAGTCTATTTGACACGAGCGGAGCGAGTGTTTAATAAACGAGTGAGTCAAAAATTTACTGAACGTGTTGCATACTATACTTTTTCTACGACCGTTAGTTTTTGGGTACATTTTCGCAAAACACGAATACATTCACTGACATGACTGTTAGAATTGACAAACGTCAAAATTCAAAGCGATTGGAAATATTTCCGAAAACATCCGATTGCTCCCAAACCCGTGCGGTAATATCCCGGAAATATCCGAAGTGGCTCGGATTCGTGGGAAACGAAACTGACGTGGTAAAGCGACGCTTCCCGCACGCTATTTCGGTGCGTAATTAGGTATTTTACAGACGGGAGTAGAAAAACTTATTTATGGCTCCTAAAGGTAACGACCACATCTAAATTACAAATAAATGGGGAGTAAAAATGTTCTAAGAGACTAACATTCGATTACCGTTACTTTTATAAGATTCTCGATTCAAGTGTTATAGGGATTTTATACGAGTAACGCACACGTTTCCTGAACAATTAATAATGTTCTCAGGATTTAAAAAGTAGATAATCGAACAGTATCCGTTGCCATTATAAACCAAATAATATTAGTTGGGTTTTGCATCAAATCCCCATTACAAATTATTGTTTTAGCCGTAAAATGCAACGACAATCTCACCATACTAGAAATTCTATCCACGTTGGGCGCCAATTTTGATTGTGCTTCCAAATCCGAAATCAACAAAGTACTTTCGTTGGGTGTCGGCCCTGACAGAATCATTTTTGCAAATCCGGCCAAACCTGCTAGCCATATCCGGCACGCCGAATCTGTAGGTGTTTCCATTATGACCTTCGATAATGAAACGGAACTGCACAAGATCAAGAAACTGTACACCAACGCCAAGTAAGTTAAAAAAGGCCTTTATACTCGAGTTTAGCTTGTTAAGTAGCAAATATTATTTATTGTAAAATATGTAGCTCCGTTGCCGGTGCTTGTGCACTAATTTGTGTGTTTTTTTTTCAAATTATTTACCTTAGGCTCTGGAACGTGTAGGTATACTCTTGTGTCGGGTATCGGATCCTGTCTTGCTGAAGTTTCGCCAAACGTGCTGCTGCCTTCTTCAGAGCGCTGTCTGAAACTAAGGATCGATTGCTCTGTCATGCACCTTAAAACACGGATGACCTAATCGCAAATGAACGATCACTGCTGAAGACTCTATGGTCTTCAACATAATTGCCATCTAAAACCCAAACCCAAGTGACACTCCATTAGTGACTAGTAGTACTATGTTCTAATGTCACCTATCAAATATCAAAAATGCTGAAAAGTCATAACATCAAAGTTAAATTGTCTACTTGTCCTAAAATCTTCCTATGCAGCTTGAAAAATATGAACCAGACTAAAAGAACAGATCAGTCCTTTCAAAAAATATCACATCAGCAGTTTCTGAATATCGTCACGCGACAGGGCACTAGATTTTATCCAATAACACCAAAATACTTGCAATATGAAAATAAAAAAAATTGGAGAATTCAAAATCATCGAACATCCTTGTAATATAAACGGCGGCACAGGTTTCTATCTTTCGTCCATTCGCGATTGCAACATTTTCATAATGATGTCAAAGTAAAAATTCATTGCTGTTAAATACAGTGACAAGGACACGAAATAGAATAGATTGTAAGCAAATGTTATAGAAAGAGATGAAGCGAAAGCCACTAAACGCCCCTGCCCAGGTATCTGCTGCTGGCAGGTATCTAAGGTGCAAGAGCAGAACAGTGCAATTTGCTCTCAGTTTCACAAAAAGTGTGCCTACAAATCCATTAGTTTAATTAACATTCGCTTTGTTAGATTTTGTCATCAATAAATTGTCAAAAATAAGTCACTAACTGTACCATCCGCACTCCTTTTTTAGGCTGGTTATTCGTATACTCTGCGAAGCATCTGATGCTCAGTGTCCTCTGGGTATGAAATTTGGTTGTGATCCTGTCAACGACGCGCCGATACTGTTAGATGTTGCCAAGTCTCTGGATCTTGACGTGGTCGGGGTTAGTTTCCACGTGGGATCTGGATGCCGCGAAGCTACCGTGTATCGTCGGGCAATAGCCACCGCTCGTGAAGTTTTTGATTATGCCGCTTCTTTGGGATTCAACTTCTACCTCTTGGATATCGGAGGTGGATATCCGGGTGACCGAGGCACTTCGATCGATAAGGTATGTTGAACCTAAAATGAGAAAAATTATTGAATTTCTGGGGCGGAAAAAATGCTTCTTTTGTAAAAGTTACCAGTCTATACTAACTTTTTGAATAAAAAAAATGTGTATCCACAAATTCGTTATTTACGAGCCCTTGCAACAATATTTTGGAACGAGGAGTAGAGCTCATTCATCAATTTATTATTTCATATTAATTAATAAGAAAATATAAAGTATGGATTTAGCTGCAAAGGTACATAGAAAAATGTTAACAAAAAATAAATAAGTATATCTATGCTTATGTTTATACTTACCTGTATGTTTATAAACTTATTAATTCCAGAGTGTTACGAATTCGAGGTATCTTCATTTATATCAGTTCAGCTACACCACTTTAACTAGAATCTGATTTGTCCCTATCACTAAATGATTTTTCGGATGACCCTCAGTTTACAGTAAAATGCATAGTTTCAGGAACATCGCCCAAGGTTTGCTCTATTTCTTCAAAAGTGTCTCTATTGGAGTGGAGGGTCGTGACTAAGCTTGTCATTGTCATGTTCTCATGTCCATTTTATTAGTAGATGAGACCCCATCTTGTTGAACGATTAAATCTCCGAATGGCTATAACTTTGCTTTGGTCAACTTACATACATACCACCTACATATCATATCATTTTTGGAACGCGTAACCGGAAAATTATTACTATTACAGCTTATTTGTTACCAAATACTTTTAGTTGTCACTTCCTAAACAATGGAAGAGAATACGTACATTGTGGTTGGTTTTTGACTGTTCTATTCAGCACAGCTGTTATTACCAGCAGTGCTGTATGTTGCACTTGTTTTGGTTGACTTCAAAAGGTTTCGTTTATTCTAGATTGCGAATATAGTCAATATGGCGCTGGATGACTTTTTTCCCGATCCCCGCGTCCAGGTTATAGCGGAACCAGGCAGATTTTTTGTTAGCTCCGCTTACACCCTCGCGTGCAACATTCATTCCATCAGAGACTCTATCCAGAAGGACGACGTCACCAAATCTGGCAAGCTTCACAAAATGTACTACATCAATGATGGGGTCTATGGCAGCTTCAACTGTATCTTGTATGATCACCAAGTGGTGGCACCTCAGCCACTATACAACAACCAGTGCGCCAAATACTATTCTAGCAGTATCTGGGGTCCAACTTGCGACGGCTTGGATCAGGTTGTACTGGATGTGCAGTTGCCGGAGATGAAAGTTGGTGATTGGATCGTATTTGAAAACATGGGCGCTTACACCTTGCCCGTGGCTAGCGAGTTCAACGGATTCCCGATTCCCAAGGTTCATTTTGTCATCGACGAAGCCACGTGGTAAGGCTGTTTATCAAATCCTAAACTCTGGGTGTTATTAAATCTGCAACTTCCAAGTGCCCTTAAATTCTAGTATTTGAGGATGTTTTTCATTACTTGTAATGGTTGAACTTAATTCCAAACAAATTTTAAAGTTGACGAGACTAATTAACTAGCATTTTTTTGTTTTATAATGGTAATAACAACAACAACAACAATAATAATAATAATAAAGAAAGAAAGAAAGATTTTGTAATTTTGGGGAGAGAAGTGACGAGTTTAATGATAACATAAAAACAACAGCTTCAACCATAGTGCGGTACTGGGATTTATAAAGCACAATTTTAAAAAATAGTAATAATCGTCAGGTACTGGATTAAGAAGGAGCAATTAGATTGAGATACGGAAGTCTATTATTCACTAAGTGGTAATTTCTTTAGTTGCCTTTTAAATCTTTCTAAGTTTAGTTTTTTTAGTGTTAGGGGAAGTCCATTATACAGGCTATACACGTGGTAGGAGAAGCTTCTTCTGAACAATGTTGTAGAGTAATAAACTATGAATATTAGTTCTATATTTGATACGGTGCGACAAATACGCAGGCGTCCCCAATACAATAACCTTATGAAAAAAGACAAAAAAGTGGAGTCTTATTCGTTGCTCCATGTCAAGCCACTCTGCATTCCTTAACTTATGCGAGATGGGAAGGTATTTTCAAATCTCAATAATCAGAAATATTGATTAAAATGCCGGTATTCCTTCCATTTATAATGAAGATATTTATGTCAATTTCTCAAGACATTACTTTTATGAGCTTTTAAGTAATATAAAACACCTTGGATACTTTTATAAAACTTATGTATGTATAAAACCTAAAGTGAATTTGGAATATAATATATAAGATAACAAAAAGCTTAGTAACCCCTATAAAACTAAAAGTAACCGAAAAATTCAATTAAAAACTATTGTGTGCAAAAGTTTACTTATTTTATTTTATAAATTTCTCAAGTGTTCAGTTAAACTAATCGTGCCTTTTAAAAAATGGTCGGGAAAATAGCAATGTTTTTGACAGTCATTCCAGGCAGTCTAGGTTTTATACTAGTCATAGAATGTTTATTAGGTGCTTTAAGATTTATAAGAGTTTTATGGAGTAAAGAGTAAAAGGGTTATAATAAAGTTTTTAAGGACACTATAAATCTGTTTGAAAAACCTGAACCAAAGTAACAGAAACGTTTTGGATTTTATTATAAAACTATACAAACTATTATAAAACCTTAATTTGCGAAAAAGATTAGTTGGGGTAAAAGAAAAAAGTAATTTTTTCTTCGTAGGAATTTGCTAAAAACCTCCTTGTCACTGAGCGAGGATAATTTTGAAATTTTGGACCGACCGGCTTTCCCAAATGACATAAACACTGGCAATGCGCTTTTCGACGTGCGCGATCTCCCCTTAAGAATTGATTTACCGCTCTACGGACAAAATGTGAACTACATCGACGTCGCTGTTTTGGAATAATGGTTTACGATTTTTGGATTCGAACGACTGGGATTTTTTCTATGCAAATTTAATTCTAAGTTGATCTTCTATCCGTAACAACATGTTTTTATCGATTACGTAATTTTGACATTTTTTTTATATTCAACTTTGGAGAACTGTACCAATTTTTTGAAATTGTTTTGTACTTGACAATTTTTGAGCGCCATTTAACAGATTTTTTTGTAAAGGGATAGAAATGTTAAATATTGATTGTAATAGGGTTTTAGGACTGGGCAGGGTTTATATCGCTCTTTTACCTTTCGGATAATAGACGACCCCGCTGATGTCATATAACTTTAGGTTTTTAAGCAAGGGGGCAGCTTCAAGCTTATTCATCTCGGAGATATGTTTAATATAAACAATTACCCGTGCATATTTTTACTTAGGAGTATGCAGGGGTGGTCACTTATATTAAGACGCTTGTAGATTAGACGCCGCGCTGTTTATTTAAATATATTATTTAGTGTAAAAAAGTTTTTGTTGTCTACCACTTCCTTTAACTCCCTTGATCGGCGAGATTGTATTATAATGTTTTGACTTGGAGCTTGCCAAGTTTTTGACAAGTGTAACCGAGAAACTTCCAACCGATCAAGTTTCGCTATTTTACAATTTCATGGGACTGGCCAATGACGTTGTCATTGCGTTAATCAAAGAGCGACCGGTTTCAAATCCAAACGAAAAACAAATTCCTCTGTTGATGGATGTCGCTTGAAAATCATTAAATAACAGTTATCCTAATAATAGTTTTTGATATAAAAAATTTATTCTTTAAACTTACCTGACACGCTGATCCCTAATCTCATAGGGAGTGTTCTTGATATTGGTAGTTTGAAGATCGGTGTGGAGTTAGCAGCCAAAATTACGGAAACAGCTGAACAACCAGTGGTGATTCAAATTAAACAGATCTTTCGTTTCCACTAAAAATGTTCTCGTGCGCTACGAAAGTTGCTATGGGATGAAACAAAAAAGTTGTAAATATATTTTTTCTGCTTTAATTGCAATTACACACTTTCATTTATTGATGAAAATATGTCCACGAAGGTTAGCTTTTGTTTCCAGTAAAAACATTCTCTTGCGGTCTCGTGCGAGAGTTGCTATATGTGGAAACAAAAAAGTTGTAAATACATTTTTTTCTACTTCAATCGAAATTTTAGGCACTTTTATTTCTTGATGAAAATACGTTGCCAAAGGTTAGCGTTCGCTTCAAGTAAATGTTCTCTTGCACTACCTTACGAGAGTTGCTATGGAATGAAACTAAGAAATAGTAAACATTTTTTTACTTTAATCAAAATTTACATGTTTTAATGCAGCAAAAATATCCGCTAACGCGAGTGGCGTATATATAGTATATATAGCTCTAGTGATGGGACTGGTCAAGTGACCACTTCTTAATTGATTAACCAACATTTAACAACATTTGTGTAACAACATTTTTCCAATTGCTGTATTTCTTAAGACGTTGCGTATAAAACCAAGCTTAGTAAATATTATTGCCTTAAAATGTTAGTGCGAATGGTTTCCTTGTGTTGCGTTTACGAGGTGTATATCAAATTAACGCAATGACTGCTGCCGAAAAATTGTCGTCATAATCAATTTTTCAAAAGTTGATAAATTTAAAATTTGAACGTATATTCGGCTAGTTTTAATCATTTTGTTATGAAATACATACTGAAAAAATTTAAGATTAATGAATAATGAATAATTAATAAATTCACCTCAAAAGTTACGATCGGCGGAAATTATTAGAAAATTCTCCTTTGCGATTGCTTTAAACTTTTCTTTCAGGAGCCTTCTTTACTTTCGTTAGTTCATTTGTACGAAAGCTAACTTTTGTGGTCACATTTTCATTAAGAAAGTGTGATCAAAGTAGAAAAAATTATTTAAATCTTTTTAATTTCACCCTACAGCAGCTCCTGTACGGGACTACAAGAGAATATGTTTACTGGAAACGAAAGTTAGCCTTTGTAGTAGAAAAATTATTTACAACTTTTTTTGGCGAGGGAGCTACGTCATCTGTTGGGGACCGTTGACGGGTGGGGCAGGTCAAGGTCCCTGACGCGCGACTACTAACGATTTTGTTGTTGCGTCGGATGAAGGCAACTTCTATGAACTATAAAAAGTTGATTTCATTTTGTAGAACTCTGGCCTGTGTATATGTATTTGATTCCGTGATGTTCTGTTCAAGTGTGCTCTACGAGGTCAGATCTATTTCTTTCTCCACGTTGGGTATGTTTCTCGTGTTCTACTATTCTTACATCTAGTAGTAGCTTCGTTTTTAAACTTTCGTTATTAAACTTCTTACAATTTGACGTGCAGAACACAAGAAATATACCCAACGGGGAGAAACAAAGAGATCTGTTCTCGCAGGGCACATTTGGACAGAATCAAATAGACATAGGTCAGGATTACAGTAAAGGAAACCCACTGGAAGGAGGGAAAGTTTATCTTCATCTCAGCTACTTTCATCCAACGCAACATCTTTAGTCGTCCAAGCGTAGAAATCGCGGCACTCTGGCAACCTCTGGTGTCACGAACTTTGACTTGCCTCACCCGTATAAATTCGAGTAGCTTCGATCGTAGCGCTCAGTTTTCACTTGATAACGGCTAGTGATACTAGCCGAAACGTTATATTGAAAACGTTGTTAGACAATGGAAGTTCGAAACGCCAATATTGACCATAATGCTTCGCCCCTTCTACAGAACTCCTTCCATAGAAACATTATGAAATTAATGCAGTTATCAGCGTAAGACATAAGGTTCGTCATAATACTTACCTATGTTAATTACTCAACAAAATTGCTACAACTTAATAAGAAACAATTAATTAATTACCCTTAATTCCCTGTTTGGGATTTACTGTAAAAAGCGGCGTATTTCAACTTTTGAAAATTGTGGGACAGGTTCAAATTTTGCAGTCACACACACAAAAAAAGTTATACATTACATTAACACTATTATATAGCAATTATTTTGATGCAATTTGTTTTTTCAGATTATCTAGAAAACTACTCCTTTCAATGAAGGAACATAACAATTTCTGATTTTTTTAAATTAGTTTCTGACCTTGTGACCTTAAAATACAGGGTTTGGTTTAAATTTTTTGAAGTATATACTAAAAAACTCATTTTCGCAATATAATCGATATTGTCGGATGTACTTTCCAAAACCTTTTGTTAATCTAGAATTTATATTTTTGTAAACCCTTTATCGGCACGGAATTCGTTAGGGATAGTCTATCGTGTGTATGTGGATACCGCCTGTCACATTTTTGATGGTTTTAACACCTTTTAATAAAGCTATAAAGCTAGTGAAATATGGCACAAGCAGAAATTATCTTGAATATTTAGTAGTTTGGTTATGGTTTGGATAGGGTTTTTCACGTAGGATCGAGTGGCTTAATCACTTTTCTTCCGAAGCTCACAAATTTTGTTACATAAAGTAAACTTTTATTTTTGTATGGAACACCCTGTACGTCTTTAATTGATTTCATTAGGCTTGTTATTAACTTATCAAAAATATATAAGATAATTTTAATATTAAATGCGTATTGATAATATACTCCTATTATATCCAGTTTTTTTTAAATTTTCTTATATCTTCGGTTTACATGAGCGAACCAAATGTTTGATAACTAAAGTATATTAGGAAAACGGACACCTTTTTTCCATGGCCTACTAGCTTCGTAAAATTATTAAAACACATAGACGGTGTTTTTGTGCGTCTCAGAAGAAAACTGAGCACGAAACTGGACCCAAGGTAAAAAAAACCCTATCCGGGCCAGTTTTTACTGCTTCGATAAAAATCCACGATAGCTAGACGTTTCTGTTTGCGTCTGCTTTCATTTCATGAAGAAGTAACGATGAGTCACGAAAGCCGCAACACGCTAGCTTTATTAATAAAACGATAAAAATGGGACCACACTGGAATATTAAAATAACTTAAAATTTAATTAATACTGTCAAATGATGACGTAGAAAGTTGCGGTTATCCTTGCGTCGTAAATAATTAATTACCGAGTTTATCGACTCATTGTGATCATAGAATGTCGCCTATCACCGTCATACTTTTTCTTCTTGGATATTTTTGTGTAGTAAATTCATTTATTGAACCTCAAATTGTTAAAAACTATTTTAAATGCAAGGGTGTCAGTTATATTATCATCTTGACATGTTTAAATAAATACGGTATGTGTTTCTGAGTTGGTTTAGTCGAATCATTTCGGTATATGGCTAATTATATATTTTTTTAGATCAAATGAAAGTGTTTAAAATGCTAAATGGAAGTACTGGAAAAATGATTGCAGTATCGAATCTTAATTACATTAATATATTTGATGCTTTGTATACGAAACACCGAAGAACTGGGATTGTTGCTGATGCCGATTGCACCAACATTGATAATTTACTCGTCAAAGTAGGTTTTAAGAAACGATTTCTTTTAACAGTAACTACGCTTACGCTCAATAATTTTATTATTTCGTCAATTATAGTTCAGTTGGTTGTTTAATATTTTCACTGCCTTAAAAGTGAAATTCACTCCATGAAAACTTAACAAACTTTCCAGATACCCTGACCAGTAGAGAGGGCATCAAAAATATAAAGATTGAATATTATATTAGGTTTATTTAGGGAAGATAAAATAGCATTAGCACCAATAGAAAATACCATGGCATAAGATTGTGATAAGTGATTTCGAAGCGAAGCAAATAGCTTTTTCGAAACACACGGAAAAACGGGTTATTCAACATTTCCACTGATATCAGCAGACACGTAATCGACATCTACCTCACTCACATCTGTCTTGTCCCTTACCTATAAGTATGTATGTTGGTATGTAGGTGTAAAATACACAACACCTGTGGTGTGTCTCAAATTACATCATCTTAATGACATCAATGACAAACTTTCAAAATAAATAAGAACTGAAAGTTCAGATTTTCACTAAATTATATACTTTGACGTGACAATTGTTTCGACAACAACGCGTCTTTGAGAAATTTTATGTGCCGATATGAATAATAAAAAGCAATTTTCTGGTTTTTTGTATACCCAAGCGAAAACATTTCTTTTTAAATTTGATAGATTATTTTCGAAATCAGTTAAAATTGTGCATGAAAAAAAAACAATGTAATACAGAAGAAGACTAAAAAGTGTAAATGAAGAACTGAAAATTTGACGGAAGATATGAAAATCTAAGTTCGCAATGTGATTTATGATTTATATAGATCGAAAAACCAGTTACGAAAGAACCTTTTAAAAACGTAGTGTTCTGGAGGTTAGACTTGTATCAGTATTAAAATTAATAATAAGCGTGTTCATTTTTTAAAGAAATAAAATGAAAATTGCACAACAAAATTGAGAAAAGTGGAATTTTTAGGGGAAACGTGAATATTTTCGAATGGAAGTGGTTCAAAATCTTGCCATAATAAGTTAGTAAAGAGTGTCAAGAGAGAAAACGGTTCTAATGTAAAAGTAATCTTTTTTCTTCCGTGGAACATACCGAGAAATTAAAAAGGATCGAGGACGAGTACTGGATGTCGATGTAGCACTGATGTTCAGTGTTCGAGAAAAACTTGGAAGACGAGGAATTTCATTCATTAAACAGCAAATTTTCATTTTTTTTGGATTTTAGATAGTTGCTAAAATTAATTGAATTCTTTAATATCGTTACTAATAAGATAAAGTTCAGTTTATTATTAATTGTTTTTGTGACTTTTTAACAACTCCTGCAATAACATTTTGGTAGTCTCTGTGTTTCTAACGATTGATACATGGTGTTTTAAAACAAATGCCAAAAACATAAGGAGGTGATTCCTTGTTTAAAATAAAGGATATTTTGTTATATAAACGTTGGGTCAAAAGCCAACCATTAGGGAGATAATCGCGTTAGAAATATGGTGAAAAATTTTGTTTTTATTTTTTATCTTAAAAACTAAAATAGATGGAACTATAAAATATTACGGAAGTATTACTATTATAAAAATACTTACTTCTATCATTCTTATCTATCAATTTCAAAATTTTCAAATAGGAAAACAAAATCTAAAGCAATGCATAATGAGATAAAAAAAGCTAGTGGGCTGCTGTCACTTCTTAAGGCGTTCCTTATTATTTCTTTATTTGAAGAGATTTGTTTCAATAATGGTGAATTTCACTAGTGCAGAAATGACATATGCATTTTATGTACAAGCGTAACTTTTTTTCGACATGCAATGTGTGGAAGCTGTAAGTTTAATGAAGAAAATGCAAGAGACAAAGGAATTTTTATTAAATATTGGTTCTGTCTATTTTTGTTTTTAGGATAAGAAATAAAAACCTTATTTTCCGCCATATTTGTAGCGCGATATCTCCTTAAGGGCTTTTGACTCAACTTTTATATAACAAACTACCCTTCATTTTAAAAAAGGAACTGTTCCTTTCTGTATTTGGAATTTGTTTCAAAAAAATCTAATTAGTGACCTTTAAACCTGCATGATAGGACTAGATTTGACTTCTTCTTCTTCTTGTATCAGCTTCTCCTTTGGAGGTTGTTGATCATCATGGCTACCTTCACTTTTGGTACTGCTGATTTAAATAATTCAATTGGCAATAGACTAAACCATTCTAGAAGATTGCGCAACCAAGAGATTCTTCGGCGCCCTACACTTCGTCTAATGAGTTTCAGCACCTCATATCTTGTACCGCGTGATACATATCCCAGGAAACTCAAGTTTGCCTTTTTTAATGGTAAAGAATATTTCGAGTTCTTTGCCCATTCTTCCTAACAGTTCCTCGTTTGTATGGATTTGACTAAACCATTGTTACTGGTAAACCCAACAAGCAATAATTTATTCATAGGTAGGGGACAACATGGTGGAGGCAGGTAGATGTCGAAAACGTGTTGACTGGTTTAACACTGAAAGTGTTGAATTTTAGGGTACGTTTAGAAAAAGCTTCTTGTCATGGATGCAAAAGAAATTGTGGAAAATTTGTATGGATGTTTGATAAGTGGAATATTCATTAAACAAGAAGCTTGAAAAGAAACCTGCCTATTTATTATAGAATGAAAGAAAAAAAAACGTAGTGATTGTTATTACTTTCGAAAAACTAAAAAGCAATCTAGACGATGAAACCACTATAATAATAGATTGGAGATTTAATTACATTCAGGGAATCAAAAAGTACATATCTGAAAACATGTATAATTTATCTAGATCAAACTTCGGTTGATATATAATACAGTATCCTAAGGGTTGTGGAATTGACCGGTCAAATTTTTGTGTGTCGATTGACCAACCAATTGATCGAAAAAAATGTAAAAATGCCATGAAATTTATATTTATTTAAGTTAATTTAAACTTCATCAGGAAGTCTATCTTCGCTCCTAATCCTAACATCTGCAACAAATAGATTTCGATTAAATTCAGTTTTTATACAAAAAAAAGTTCCTATGATTTCGAAAATATATCACATTTTGCATTTTGAAACTGTTTCAAAATGTCACTTGGTTGAAATTGAATAATACTAAATAAAAATTATGTAACTTCTGCAAAAACTTTGCGACGGAGGATAAAATACCTTGTCCAGATATCTTTATTAGTTTGGCTCTTGCTTTGAGTATCCAACAAATTTCTAAGCAGTTGGCTAGAGCGTAATTGGATGAGGCCTCAAAAAATTTGCAGCGAAGGAGAGATTATTTTGGAATGCGACAAATGCTGAGAGAATACAGATTTATTGATTTAAAGATCGGTACCCACTGCCCATAATGATCTCCGGATCTCAAAATATTTAGTTGCATTCAAGTAGGTTGCGGACACAATCGTCTCTACTCAAAGCGTCCATCAGAATTTCATATCTTGGTATTATCTCACCAATGACAGTGCTAATGAATATTTTACGTTTAATATTAGTCTTACGCCTAAAAAAGGAACTTAGGAACTTAGGGCATTTTAAAATCGTCTAATATTGCCGAGATTGCCTTTCTGATTTTAGTGCGGAAGGTACAAATTATTCGATCCTAAATACCGGTGGTTGATACTCGCCTCGTCTAAAAACTATCGCGACATATTCGAGGGAGTGGATATAAATGTTGACGTGGATATCACTGTGGTATATCCAGCAAGGAATTCAAATTCGACAACGAAATACATTTTCATGGATATCTACAATCCCGCATCTGAAGGAGGCGGTTCTTTAAAGACGACGCATTTGGGATTCGATAACGATTCACTTGATCGGCGTTTACTGGAACTGGAAACTAATAAAAACTGGATTAGAAGGGATCTCACTGGAGTTACGTTTAACGCCATGGTGGTCGTAAGTATAAAAAGATGTTACTTAGGGCCCGTGATGATATGACCGAGCACATTCCCATTGGAAGTTTGCGACGTCCAGGATATTATCAGAATTTGATGGTAGCATCATAGCTAAAAAGCATCCAGCTTATTGATGACAGCAGCTTTCAATGTCCATGTCTCACATCTAAAATTGACCATATGCAGGAAATAAGCACCCTTTTTCGTGTACACGTGGATACTACTACATAAGACTTGTTTCCCGGATTTGAATGTTTTACAGTGTCTTTCAGCATTCAACCAGTTGCCAAGATATTTAAAATAACTTACGCGTTCCACAACGTCACCGTTTAATAGAAGCTATCCAGGATCTATTGGCACCTTTTCCACTACACTAGGTCTTACTTATGTTAATGTTTACGAACATGCTTCGCTTCGTTAACTGAGTTCAGCATATTTTGAAGGTCCATGAGTATGGTGATATCATCGGCCTATCTTATATTGATAATTACTTCTCCTTCGATCTTTACACCTTGTCTCCCGTTGCAGGTAGCATCCCGAAACATGTATTCCGAATGTACATTGTCTCCAATTTTGGTTTCGACTGAAGGGTAGATACGTTGTTAATGAAGATAGAGCCTCGCGTTTTCGCAAACCTTGCTTAGTTTTTAAAATACAGGGTGATTTTGGAAATTTGAAGTTTTGGGGCACCCGTCGTATCTAGGATATCCATTAAAATATCGGAAAGATGAACAGCGCATCCAATATAGATTTTTACGTAGAATTCAGTGGCGCAGTTAGTTTTTTCTAAATGTTTTCGCCTTATTGAAAAAAATATCTATATCTTATGGGCCATTTTGATTCCGCTTAGTATGAGCTTCTCAAAAATGTATGACAGTATGGGGTTATTTATATAAATGACCTCACAAAAATGATTTTTTAAAATGTTCATGAATGTATTTGCGGTAGGCCTTGGAAAAATGATTTATTAAATATCGAAAATAGTTGCCTTATTTATTCCTGACACCACTTACACAATTACTTTTAAAATTTGCATGAAGCCAACTTAGTTTAATATTAACATTTTATTTGTAACATTACGCATTGCTTTGTGACCTACATATTATTAAGAAAGATAAACCAAAACGTGAACAAACAATTATGGAAAATGATAACGAAGGAGGGAAGGAAAGTGATTAAATATTAGCTTTTTTTTCAAATCAGTACATCATTATTTTAATTTATAAAGCTATTTTTTAGCTTTAGCTTTAGCCGCTCAAAATGTCGACCATTATCTCTAACGCAAACAAACTTTATTTTAAGATACGAACCTAAAATTCACTGGACGTACTCAGATTTGTCTATAAAGCCTAAACTTTTTTTATTTATTTTAAATGAAACACCATGTATATTTTTGAAAAATGGTGATGGAACGTATGGATATTTGCACTTTTTGTTTGTTTCCTAAAATTCCACAATATAATGTACAAATGGAGCTCCTCATAATATAATGTTTTTGCATATGTATATTTGATCTCTTTGCGAAAAAGTTCATTAGCTAAACCGGTGGTTGTAAGTGTTCAGCTTTCTAAATTAACATCATATTAGGTTTTTTAATGTTATATTCAACAAGCATCTAATTCATTCTGGTTAGCATATTTTTTTTAGGTGTAAGTTTATTGCATTGTCTTGTTTTGTAACTTTTGCAGCCATCTAATCTCTCCCTCCGTACACATGAACAATAAGGAGCAACAGTAATTTTTATTCATATGTAATTCTGTTTGACGTTGAGTCGTCATTAAGATTAATTATAATTGGCTGTTATTTGTTATATGTTATTTTGTATGCAAATTTAAGTATTTTCAATTCTTAAAATCTGCTGTACTGCATTTTTTTAAGCAACGCATGGTCAACAAAAGTCAACACTACCACCAATATCAGCCGACGTGTTGTCGATATGCATCTGGCTCGTCCCCATCTTGTCATTAAACAATGAATAAATTATTGATTTTTGGGTTTACTCATTAACATGAGGTACGAAGGTCGAAATTACTTTTTGAACGAGGGCCCATCAAAACCGAAGAAGATATACTTTGAGGCAAACTTTTTAAAATTAATTTATAATGGCCATAGATTTATGAGATTGAACTTATTCTAGCTTCATGATCCGTTTGTGGGGAACTACGAAGATTATATAATAAGCGATGACCACAGAGAGATAAACACTTACGACAGGTTTCACTATCGCTTGATGTACCAGTGCAAGGATCACCATAATTTCAGGTAACTTTTTAAACCTTATATTTCTGCGCAGCGTAGAAGACAAAGAAAAGGTTGTACGGTTTTGTGATTGTAGTTTTTGTTCAACAAATGTTTGTCATAGAACTTAATTGATTTTCTCATACTATTGTTTGATTGATTTGTTCTATAGTTGTCGTAGAACAAAATTTGTAACCTTATAGTGCTATATCCTTACTCGCTTTATTATGAATCCAGTATTGCATTGGATAAAATATGAAATGGTGTAATAGCGAAATGATTGTAAGCCAGGTGCAGTGTCTTAAATAAACTTGTTTGCGTGCAATATTAAATGCGCATTTATAATGCACGCCGATTATATCGATTTTTTCTTAATTGCCAGATTTTGGGTAATATATAGCAGAAATGAAAATAACTTTTTTTCATTTGTGAGTTTTAGTAGAAAAGTAAGTACTCCACTGGAGTGTACTTAAAAAACCCTATCTAGAACAGTTTTTGTTATTCCAAAAAGTTTACGCATAATCGAACTACAAAAGGGAGATACGCTGTAATATCTTTACTGTGCAGTCTGTCCCACATAAATCAATTTTGAGAGAGGATGGTAATGTGCGACCATGAAGAATGAAGAAGTTAAAATCTGCCATTGAAAAGTACACTATTATGATGACTATTTAGATGTAATTAAAACAAAATTATCTTGAAAATAAAAAATGTTACGTAAAGAATAAAAATATTATAAATTCGGGGCCTAGTAAGAACAAACCTAGCAAAAAGTCTTCCTAATCTTTGAATTAGCAAGAGTGTCAACTCACAACTCTGACACCAATATTATGAAATATTATCTTGATTGAGACTTTTATTTCTGTTATGTTCTGACTTTTACTTTATGTTTACAAGTTGCTACAATCTAAAAATTGGTTTAGAAAACGCCAAATAATTCTATCTAATGACCTAATTTAGATTCCGCTTCCAAGATTTGCCAATTTTTACAAAATCAAAGATAGTTCTCGCGTATATTGTGTTTAATGTGTGTAAAAATTGAAGCGTCGCGGGCAGCATTGATATTTTCGTGGAGAAGAGGATGAATGATTCTCCGCACATGCCTTTAAATTTCACACATTATCCTGTACTTCGCATACTTTATGAACAGCTACTTCCACAGACTTAACTCATTTTCTCAGAACATTTAAAGACATCTATGCATATTTTGAAAAACTACTGTCGTAATAATATTACATCTAAACTATAACCTGTCGAATTGACGAACATAAATATGTTGGTTAGTTTTGGTTAGTTGAGCCCCATTGTCTTATTGGTTATCTTGAAATGACAAGATTATTGGTTAAAAATGACCGCGCATGCTCATATTGAATTGGCTTTCACAATTGTTTTTTCAATAGTCGCCTCAAAACTTCCTGTATTATCAGCATAGGGGCCTTCTATAGGTTTAATAACTTTATGCATTTTGTCAATTCCTGTTATTATGCATGGAGAAATTAACTATCCAAATTGTTTATACTATAGAGTTTACGATTATAAAAAAGACCTGAAAAAATTGGGTTTAAAAATAAATGAGTTAATTTAGAAAATTGAATGTTGATAACGTATAGTATTTTCAAGGTCCCCTGTTTATTTATACTTTTTTTTTAATATAAAATAAAAAAACATAACTCTTGCAGGAAGATTTTGTAAAATGTTCTGTGATAAAGAACTCAATAAGAGCAGCCGTTCGCTATTCAGGGTGGATAATAGATAACAATTCTTTGCGGAAAACGAGACTGACCAAATTTTCATTCTAGATTTTCTAATAAGCTCTATCGATCTTGAACATTTTCATGGCTGCCGATTTATTAACTTCCACTTAATTCGGAATATAATGCCAATGAATAGACTAAAAAGTTGAGGCAGGAAAGTGCACTAGGCCGAATCTTTTAAATTCTACAGCCACTCAAATTTATAGCTGTGATTACTTTGAAACGGTTTTATATATAAATTTGTGTGATCTATTAAATATGTTTGGAATTACTAGAATAATTCAAAAAATGCGATAGTATAATAGTTTGCTCTATATAAAATTTCAATGACGCTGCTGTTTTTCGATAAAACTAGCAACATTGCTTTATTGAAAACATTCTGTAGTGACCGAACAAAAACAAGCAACCAGATTTTCAGAACGATCCTATGTAATGCTTTTGTGAATGTTTATGAAATTATTCATACATTAATTTGCACGTATTTGATTCTTTTCATATATTAAATTTACTACCTATTTTCTCTGTACGGTGCTCTCAAGTGCTTTAACCAAAACTTCAGTTTAATGTTCGCTGCCGCTGAAACTCTTCGACAAATTCTAGTTATTTAGCTATGCCTAACTAAATTCCGCATAAATCATTTTCTGACGTTTTCCAGCTTCAACACGAGCTGGGGAAAATTATACGGTTATAAAACCTCCAACGGCACGATGGACGGACTGGTGGGAGAAATGGAGCAACGACGGGTGGACATGGGATTGTCTCCACTGTTTATACAAGAAGATAGGGCCAAAGTGATTAGCTACGGCAGAAGAACCTGGTTTTTAAGGTGTTCGCGACGATTTCTACGGCGACCAAAATGTACTGAAGACATCTTCCAGGTCTGCCTTCGTATTCAGAAACCCGAAATCTTTAAACTCGTTGGAAATATTTGTCCGACCCTTTTCGGCGGCTCTGTGGTTCGCAGTTTTCTTATTGGCGATCGTTTCGGCCTTCGTCTTGAGATTTAGTCTACGTTGCGAGACCAACCACAGAGTCGATACCCCTCTCGAGTCTACTTGGAGTTACGTCATCTTGTCTGTAATCGGTTCGTTTTGCCAACAAGGTATGGTATGTCTCAAAGTATACCGTCTTGCCTTTTGACGGCAATTACTGAAATTACTCGTCGTTGCCAATAAAACAGCTGACCGCTCGGTATTGTCGGACAGATCATCAGGGATAGATTTTTAAGGCCTAATAAAGATATAAAAATTATTAAGTTTATCAAATTCTGTTCTTGCAACTAGATTCAAAATAAATAGTATTTTGTAACAAATATTCTTGAATTTCATGTTTTGTACTTGAAGAATTTGGAGTTTTTTGTAGCAGATAAGAGCAAACGGTTTGGAACAAATCCCTCTGATCTAGCTTGAATTATGGTTAGGACTTCCTTTTCTTTTCATTTATTTCATTTATTTCCTTTGGATATCGTATCATATGTACCGAACCAAATACCTCTATGGAGGGTTTATCCAAAGTAAGAACAATCTGGTTAGGGAATATTTAATCATATTCTGTTTATTATTGTCCAGACATTGTGATTCAAAATCAAGTTTTTTCTTTCTCATTAAATAGTTTACTGTTAACAATATTCTTTATCGAGAATATTGGAGTTTTTGGAAGTAGGCAGGTTTCTTTCTTGTTTAATGACTTCTCTACTTATTAAACATTCACACATATTTTTCACAATTTGTTTTCCATCTAATAAACTCGTAAAGAGCTTTTTCGAAACGTACGGTAAAACGGATTATTCAACACTGCCACTGCTATCAGCCGACACGTGGTCGACATCTACCTTACACGTCCCTGTATGTCCATTAATTATGAATAAATTATTGTTTGTTGGGTTTACTCCAGTAACAATACGTCGTAATTACGTTTTACGGGAGGGTTCGACAAAAGCCAAGATGTATCTTGAGACGCACATTACGTCGACAAGAGCAATAGAAGTGGTGTTTTTTTCTATAGATTATCACCATAAACATGACACCTGTGATAGGGTATTATACCTTTGAAAATATCTAACGCTCTACAAAATACGACTTGTTTATCATAACATCTAAAGTGAGGGGCAAATCACCACCCGAAATTGGTACACCAAATTTTACACAACCATTTCTCAGGTTTTATGCCATATTTCGCGGATTTCACAAAGATTTCACGGATTCCCGATATCGCAGGTTTTACAAAGATTTGTAAAATGTTTGTATTCTGCCCTACTTACTAATTTTCGAAACGGGCATAAAACTTATATATTTTTCTATTTTTTGCGAAATTATGCATGTCTCTTTAAATTTGGAAAAGTAATTTACCTAAGAAGTTATGAAAAATGCATATATTTAAAAAAATATAGTAACTTACCGGCAGTATCCATCTGACATAGTAACTAGATATAATATAAATTTCAAATTTTGGGAATATGGTGTAGTCCATCCGCCTAATATGATTAAGGTGTCAACACTACTAGTTACAACAAAAATTGCCAGAAAAATTTCTTTAATTATTAATATAGAATGCTTCAAAAAATACAAATTAATAAAGTTCCACCAATAAAAATCGATTAATTGAAAAATGATGTTTGTAAAATTAATTAAAATGCAACCAAAAGTCACAGCGTCAATTTATAAATAACTGAAGAATAGTTATTTAATAAATACTTGGATTTTTTTTAGTTTGACATGTTTACTACAACCGTTATACTTTCACAAATATTTCTCACAGATATCGAAGATTTCACAAATTTGAGTGATTTGACGGAGCTGGTGCACTAGAGTCCACGCGTGATTAATCTCTGGATCTAAACCATGAATGATGAACAGTTTTTCGGAAAGATGAACTATTTCAGCAAAATTGTGAAGGTTAATAATGATACATCTTTCCATTTTTTGCAACCTCATACAAATATAGATTTGTTTAAATAATAGTTTTGTTTGATGTGGAAATAATAATAGGTACACGCCATTCATAATTCTATTATTGATGTAAGCTATCCTTTAAGTATCCAATTAGGACTGTCAACAATTGTAGATTGCGGTTGACATATTTTAAAAAACTATATATTTTACGAAAAAAAGCTCGAAATTCGAAGAAAACCAAAGAATTTAAGAAGAGAACGAGAATTTTAATACTGCTTATTTTTTTGCATTACAAATCTACACGTTTCTTGAACATTAAACGCGTTTTTTTTTTCATTATAATGGTTAATCTAAATTAGCGGTAAAGTACATCGACAGAATTTTGAATAAAAAAAAGCAAGCCACTGACTTTTGGACAAATAAAAATGTGCTCCCATTTTACGAAATATCGAAGATGAACTTTTCCATAGCGCCTATGTTTTTAAGTTACGTAAAAATGACTGAAATGTTATATATTTTAAAAATAGGGCTAAAAGAACGCCCCACGAGCGCCTATTGGCGCGATTTTATAGCAGAACCGTAAATCCATAGGTGTAAACGCAGTTCCCGCCTTCTTCTGTGGCAAGATTGGAATCATATCACTTCTGCTAGTCACGACGATGGTCTATCAATTTTACTCGGCTAGTTTGGTTTCCTCGTTAATCAACGTACCGCTGGTACTGATCAATAGCCTTGACAATCTCCTGAGGTCCAATTTGAAGATTGGCATAGAGAACATTGCATTTAACATACAATATTTTAAGGTGAGAATATTTTTATGAGCAGTAGATTTTTTACGATAACAAAAAAAATCATTCCGCGTAAAACTTAAACTGAACTAAAAATTAATTCCTTCCATCTAGCGTGCGTGCGTGCGTCACTTTTCCACGTCAGTTTCGTTTCCCTCGGATCCGAGCCGCTTCGGACATTTCCGGGATTTTAACGCACGGGTTTGGGAGCAATCGGATGTTTTCGGAGATATTTCCTACGCTTTGAATTTTGACGTTTGTCAATTCTGTCGGTCATGTCAGTGAATGTTTTTTTTTCTTTACGCTTAATTGGGTCCATCTACAATTCGAATATGCACCCATTTTCCGGCATCCGCCGAGGAAAATTGACCGATAACAATTTTTCAAGCACACAACACCCAAGGCGTCAGTGAACGTATTCTTGTTGTTTTGCGAAAATGTACCCAAAAACTAACAGTCGTAGAGGAAGTATAGTATGCGACACGGCCGTTTACCGCACTTGTTGCATAATGTATTATTTTTTGTTATGAACTTATTCCAATCATTGTGATTAGCTTTCCTTAACTCCACTACAGGATAAGTTAACAGAATCTCCTTTAAGTTTTTTTTCATTTTATTAAATATATGCTAGAGCAAAACGTATGACTCCTCAATATTCATTTTGATAATAACTGCTTTGAGCTGAAATTTCGAGTAGCAATAAATCAAAAAAGGTCTTAAATTGGAACTCTTAAGGGAAAAAACAAGGTAAGTAACCTGATAAGTTCTCGGAAAAAAGTAGGAAAAAACATGGTTTTGTACTTTTAATTTTATTTTTCAAGATAAACATGTTTCAACTCTATAGTATGTCTAAGCGTGTTTCCAATTTTTTTAAGCCGTTTCAAAAAATTGAATTTTGGAAATTTAATTGGAAATTAATAGGCATTCATTTGAATGATTAACTCCTCGTTATACATAAACTTTTGTCCACCGAGCCAAGTTTGGAAACAATAAATAGGCGCTCGGGGTCGACTCTGGTAAATACAGTGAATGTTGTGATGATTGGAACTTTAATTACGTAATTTAGACATCGTACTGCACAGGTGCGCTGTGCTTTGTAACAGGATCTTTTTTTTTCTGGTGAGGACCCTTTCTCTTTATTTCTTTACCGAGCCGTTGCAATAATAACGACTGGTACTCTCTTCTTATCGTTGTTCCCTTTCTCTGTAGATGATTCCGCGAGCATCCCACGGTGCCATAACCTTACTGGCCGACTTGACCGTCTTCACCTTCTTTGGAGCCCGTTCAAAAATCCACTGTTTTGATTGTTATGTTTTCTCTGGAGTGTATCCGTGTCCTACCAACAGTTGTCGCAGAAACTCAAAGATTGCAGCAGGAAAACAACATTTTTTCTCACCAAATTTTTCGTGCAAAATTGACGCCACTGCGATAAGCCTGTCGTCTTAATTATTTTGGCGCACTTTAGTTCCTCGACTTAAAATCATATCGTGAATTTTGTCAATTATTTCAGGTGCATTATTTTACGGTGCATTCGGATTTGCATGTGTGGATGTATTACCGTATTTAAACTTATTCACCCATTTGCAAGAAGTTGCAAAGACGTGCCATGAACTTCGTGCAACTCGACTTTCAGCGTCAAACCTTTCAAATACTGCTTATTTTCGAAACTTGAAATGGATTCGGTAACTATTAGGAAATCTGTATTTAATTTAAGCGGACCACTGATCCGTCGGCTCTCCGTTTGTACAATAAGTGGGTCTTGGACAAGGAAGACGAAGCCTATCTAAATGCTTCAGATGGACTCCAATTGATGAAAAAAGGTCAATACGCTTTCCACGTTGAACTTGTTAAAGCGTACGCATATATGAAAGCCAACCTAAGAGATGACGAAATATGCGAGGTGACCCAACTACCCATGTTTTCGGCGATCAGCACCTACGCCAATTTTGTAAAGCACTCACCGTTTCAGAATCTTATCAACGTGTGGTGAGTTGGAACTGTGGTTCTTGCATACAGGCAGTTATGTAGTTAAAAAACACAATAAATATATTACGAAGTGACTTTAGCTTAGATTATTTTTTTACTTTACAATACTTTGTAGACTTACAAGTTTATGCAGCAGGTCTTGCATACATTTATAACCTGTTAGGTATGGGCAACCAATGAAAGCTACTAGGGCAAATTCGATACCACTCATCCTTCATTTGCGATAGTCACTAAGATAGATTCCTATTTTTGAAATTGCAGCAAGTCTTTAGTCTTAGAGCAGGCTGATTAAATTTTTCTCCCATTGTAAGAGGCATGTCTCTAAAGTTCTGGGAATTGTGCTATAAATAAATTGCGTAGTAGTTATTGGTTCATAACCATGAAATGCATCAAAATCTCAAAAAGCAATTTTGTTTTTGTGGAAAGAAAGTGAAAACTTCAGACATTATTGACATTTGTGGGAGTATTTGGTGAGTTTGCAGAATCCACAAATACTGTCTATCAGTGAATCGATCATTTTAAAACCGGTAGAACATCACTAAAACACGATCTAGAGAGCGCCCAAACACCTTTAGAAATGAAAGAAACATTACTGCTATCGAACAACTACTGCAAGAGAGGTGAAATTCGTCAAATTAGGGATGAGTTTGAGGGTTGGCAAGATTTCGGTTCTTTGAACCTGAAGGAGATCATCCACCTAAGGCGCAGTTCCAACTTTTGTATGATTGATTGATTAATCTTTTTACAAAACTTCTGGATTCCTCCTGCGTCGGTTTTAGCTTAGTCGAAAATGCAGCATTTTCGACTTAGCAGAAACCGACGCAGGAGGAATCCACAAGTTTTGTAAAAAGCATTACAGTAGCCTGTGGAAGTTTCTTTGAAAAATGATTGATTATCTGTCAAAATATACTACAATTAACGCAAAATATTATTGTCAAAAAACGGCCTGGAAAGAAGTTATTTCAACAGAATGATGCAAGAAAAACGGAGGAGGTTTTGAATGATTGACGAAGAAAATTGCTTCCGCAGCCTACTGGTTCCCTGAGATGTTGCCCATAGTGATTATCATCTGTTCGCAGATTTCAGAAAAACCCCTTCGCCGTAAAGCGTGCTATAAATAGGTGGAATGAGCAGACATCGAAAAAGTTCGACTTTAAAAAGAAGTTTATCATTTTAATAAATGAATTTAGTTAAACGGATATCATGTTGAAAAACACTATATAAATATTACAAATTCCCAAAATTTTGGAAACATCCCTAGTGTATACTTTACTAAAGATATTGATTGATGTTAAAATTTAGTCTACAGAGGATTGCTGAGAGTGGAGTAATGCGCAAAGAACTGGAATTCTGGCACGATAAGAAGCCAGAATGTGTTTACGCTTCAAACATCAACACCGGCATAGAAGAATTCTATCCAGCTATATCGGTTGTGGGGGTCGGACTAGTGTTCGGTCTCAATTTGTTGATGTTAGAAATATTGTATAATCTCTGGACGCAAAATAGATTACTACAATTTATTAATTAGTAAGGAATAAAATCCCACAGTGTAAAGCATTATTACATTCAAGAGTTAACCATTAAATAAACATTGCATTTCTGATATATTTTATTAAATAAGCTCATCGGTCTAAAGATCGTTAATAAAGCGTAAAATTCGATGATTATAAGAAGCAACTGTCACCTATAACTTTTATATTAATTTTTTATTATTTATTATATATTTTTCCACCTTCTCAATTTACAAAAATATGAGCCTTGATAATTCGGATTCGCTGATGACAACAATATTCAAATAAATCACTTATATTTGACTGATTAAAAAACAATGATTGCAATTGGTTTCGGCATTTTCTTTTTCTTGTTTTTCCAGCTTTCACGACAGAAAAAGATAAAAGTGCAAAATTCCTAGGTATGCTCTCGGGGACCAAATGAAGTTGCTTTTAACAAAATAGATCAACGAGGAAAAAACTTTTTTAAATAAAATTTATAGACGTAGTGAACCATTAATATTTTATTAATACAATTTGAGTTCTTATATGCAGTATAGTGTGATAACTGAGGATAAACCATTGGAGGAGAAGAATCATTGGTTTACAATATAAGATGGTCGTGAATTTAAACGTTAGACTTTCGATCCCAAAATTTAATTATCTGAGGGAGACAATACTGATATATATATATATATATATATATATATATATATATATATATATATATATATATATATATATATATATATATATATATATATATATATATATATATATATATATATATATATATATATATATATATATATATATATATATATATATATATATATATATATATATATATATATATATATATATATATATATATATATATATATATATATATATATATATATATATATATATATATATATATATATATATATATATATATATATATATATATATATATATATATATATATATATATATATATATATATATATATATATATATATATATATATATATGATGACACTATATTCCGGGGAGGATATTTTGAACGACCCAATATACAAACTAGTCACCAGAGATCCCACGACATATTTGGAAAAAACAACTAAAAACAACTAACAAAATTCTCGATTCATCAATAAACGAGGATACAAAGAAGAAACTTATTCCGAGGGAAAAATCGAGTCGTTGCCCAAAATTCTACGGGCTCCCAAAGATCCATAAGGACGGGGTTCCCCTGCGTCCAATCGTAAGCGCCTTTAACTCACCATTATGCAAGCTGGAAAAACATCTGGCCAGTGCACTTCAGCCTATAGTGGAAAAGGCAGATTCCTATGTTAAAAAACTCAGAACATTTCACTCAGATTTTAGGTTCTCTCAGGATGGACAAGGACGACATTATGGCAAGTTTCGATGTCAAATCCCTCTACCCGAGTATTCCAGTAGAAGAGGCACTCTTGCTTATAGAAGAAAACGAAGATCTTCCGCCATACATAATGGATCTGTCAAGACATTGCCTGAAAAACGCTTACTTTATGCACAACGGGAAAATTTACCGACAAATAGATGGAGCAGCAATGGGATCATCTCTCTCACCTGTGATTGCCAACCTCTTCATGATTTACTTCGAAAAGAAAGCAATAGAGAAGGCAAATCTGAAGCCAAAACTATGGACAAGATACGTTGATGACGTATTTGTTGTATGGCCTTTTGGCAAGGAGGAGCTTTTGAAATTCCTAGATCATCTGAATTCCATTCACCCAAGGATTCAATTTACAATAGAACTTGAAGAGGATAACAGTCTGCCCTTTTTAGATGTGCACATCACAAGGACCGAAGATGGACACTTGGAACACACTGTCTATAGAAAACCAACACACACTAATAGATATCTGAACGCTAAATCTCATCACCACCCATCACAGATACAGGCAGTGGCAAATACATTAATTGCTCGGTCCTTCAGGCTCACAAACGAGAGGAACAGAGATAAAGAACTGAAGAAAATTAGTACCTGTCTTCGACAAAACGGATACCAAAGGCGCACCATCAGCAAGGCAATCAGTAAACAACAACAGCCGCAGCAGAGAGTGCAGGACGAGACCCAACGAAGATCGATCGCTGTCCTGCCATACATCAAGGGGGTTACTGACAAAATCGGCCGAATATTACGGAAACACGACATATCAACGGCATACAAACCTGACCATACCATCGGAGCAATACTAAGAAACCCAAAACAAAAAATTACTCTGGAAAACCAAGGAGTATACAGTGTAGCATGCGGATCGTGCAGCCTGACGTATGTGGGACAGACCAACAGAAGGATTTCAGCCAGGCTCGAGGAACATCCTTTAGCCATAAGAAACAAACAAACAACATCTGCTTTCTTTCAGCACCAACATCAGACAGGCCATAAAATTGATTTCGGCACTTGCAAACAAATAGCTAATATTCCTGATTTTAGGACTAGGATTATACGAGAGGCCATCGAAATAGAAAAGTCCCGACACCTCAATACGAGAGACGACGCTCTGCATTTATCCAACACGTGGAGAACGATAATCAAACAGCAGAGCGATGCGCAGCAGCCAACGGGGACATCGCAACTACGATCGGGCGAAATTAACAACGCGACAATTCAGGGGGCGGAGCCACCTCCCCCCACGCACAAGCAGCACCGTTACCATCTCCGGCGCAGAGTATAAATACCGCACGCACCGCCGATAACCTCCCAGTGTTCGAAGTGTTTTCGGAGCGCGAGCATTGAAGATGCCAAGTGAGATTTTGGCGAAACGTCTGCAGGATTCCAGTCGGATGCAGGATTTGCAGGATTCCAGTCGGAGTTCAACGAGCGAACGGATGATATCTCGGAATATAGTGTCATCACATTTTTCATCCGTGAATCAATACGTGAGAATATATATATATATATATATATATATATATATATATATAGTATATATATATATATATATATATATATATATATATATATATATCCCCAATAAAATGTATAAAATCATGTTATATTTATATTTATATATTGACGATATTGATATTAGATATGGAACTGAGCC